TTAACACTCTTTTGTTGTAAATAGTGGAAAGTATTGCGGACATTTAATGATGTACTCTATTCACTTTGAGTAAAACAACAATACAAATTAATATCTGAATATGCACTAATAAAAATCTTACATTATTAACCAGCTTACCTGACAACTAGACTTGCTTAGATTCCCACCAGCCAATATTTTGTTCTGTACTTCTTCAATTTTCTCATCCATGAAAATGATATTACCTGCACGGTTGTGTGTGATATATTTAACCTTCATATCAGCTTAATACAAGCTTTTTGCACAGTGTGTTTTGATCGAAGGTCTCAGTCCCCAGAATGTCATAAACAAATCCCTTGCCTAGAGAGCTCTTTTTGCCCATCTTGTGTCAATATTGTAAGCACCACGCCAATCAAGTCAACAATTATACATATACCTCTTGGAAAAGGTGTATAAAACCATCGCAAACCGTAAAATACGGCAGCATTTTCAACATTTCATCCAAAATCATCAAAATGGCGGTTTTTTAGGGGACTGTTGACACGCAGGCGCATAACAAACGTCTTGCTTTCCTCCCCTTCCCTACAAGGAAAGGTTTTGTAAATTTTCGTTTTTACAATGTTTAGTTTTCGTGTGTTAATGGCGAAGAAAAAATGTCTAAGAATACACAATCCGTGCGTGCTATTTTGGATTAAAACATCAATAAGAAGTAACATTTTTGATTTGGAATATAGTCAGTTATAATTCAAAATTTCAATATACGGACATTTTTGATTTTTGTTTTCAAGACATTGAAAATAAAAATTGAAATATCATTCGAAATTTGAATTTAATTTTTTTCAAAACAAATACAATTTAGATGAACGAAACGCCCACGGACCAATATGGACCAATATGGGAAAAAGCAGGGATCTATGCGAAGTTCTTTTGTCGACTAAAAGTGTGGACATTTCGAAACCAAGACTATGCTAGCAGTTAGACTGAGAGAAATTAAAAACAAAGAATCTACAGTCTTGAATGACTTAATAAATTGATGAAACCTATGCTTGAAACAAGTATGGCTCTGTTGAAGATGAACTTTGAACGATAATTTATCGGAAGTTCGATAATGAAGGTAAAAAATATATTTTTKTATACAGTTTTCTGTGATTATGTGAAGTTCGAGTAGTCCGGGTTCAAACATCGATTATTGAATCAAACATTGTTGATTATTGTAAGCTTATGTAGACTACTTTTTGCCGAGAAGCTTTCAGTTTACTTTTAATCAATTGACCTTTATAGATTATAATTTTAAACTTCATCCAGCGGAACAAAGTCTACCGAAGTCAATATTAGTACGAACTAAATTCTCATAAACATAAGTTACTCTTTATAATATTTGTT